GATGCACAATTGGGTGTTACATGTAACCCCCCTCCATTTCTATTTCACATTCTTTCTCACATTCATGTATATTAATTGTAAGAATGTGGAGGTTATGTGATGTGTGCCTATAAATAGATGATCTCCTTGTACTAAGGAATATATGAATAAGAGAGCTCTATTCCGCCTCTCTTCTTGTGTCTCTACTCTTACTCTTGTGTATGTTCCTCTTCCTTGTTATTTCATAACACGTTATCAGCACGAGCTCTGCCAAAGTAATGGTTGGTCATTGTCTATCTATATAATCACATATACTTGAGTAAGATCACAACACGATCAAGGTATGCAAATCTTCATGCAATTTCTTGTTAGTATGTTTATCTATCTCATTGTCTTTGAGGGATTATTTGATCATGTTATTTGTTCATATTATTTTATATATGTCGATGTCGTAACATGGAGTTTGTGCTTGGACATTATCAGATAATGAAAATTGCTCCTGTAGTAGCAAAACCATTATGGGTTGACTTATCGATTGCTACATTCGACATATAGAGAAATGAAAGTCTAAAGATCTCATTTTCCCCCGAAGTGGAAAAATGAAGAAAAAATGTGTCAAATGAAAGAAGTGGATCTGGTAACTAAAATATTGGAATATGAGTTACCATTGCGATGGGGAAAAAATCATTGATCTTGTACCCGATGTATGAAAAGAATTTTTATTGGTCCAAGAATCATTTTAAAGGAAAATGAAAATCTATATGTGCTCCTGCAGTAGCAATATTATCTTAGAGGTTTTACAAAGTGTAAGTTAATTTCTTGTTAGTTAAAGCTGAAAAATGTATTGGACTTGTGATGAGAAATATTATATAATATGATCCAAAGGGTGTTGTTTCATTCCTGGAAGCGAATGAAACAAACCATTCTTAAAAGTGAATGGATCGAGACACACCATTATATTAATATAATTTGTTGTTTGGATAACGACAATCAACAAATGTATCTTTTCACTAGAAGTGAAAGATAAAATAATTATAGATGAGGATGACAACTCATGTAGCAAAAGTCATGATCATATGCCGGAATGTGTTATGAAACACATATATGTTATTATTATTATTATTATTATTATTATTATTTTGTATGCTTTTGTATAGAATGAATATTCGCAAAAGTCAATACTGGTATTATATCATATAGTATGAAAGTAAGGAAAAGCTTCGGAAGAGATTGTGTTTTGTTACTTGAAGTAACTAAACAATATATTGGTGATATTCATAGTATGTAAATATTCTTATAACTATGTATATGTGCTTACAATAGTTTACCGAATCAGAAGGTGCGTCACGGCCAAAATGTAGTACAAGAATATGTGAAGGCTTCAGAAGAACTAATGTTTTGAGACGTGAATGAACTAAACTGTCAATTGAAGATGTATTACCGAATTCATAATTCAGTTGAAGATATTCGCAGAAACGAATATCATAATTGATATTGCATCAGAAATGTGTTCTAAGAGAACATATACTTAACTGGAGAAATTTGTACTACATGTATATTAGTACATATGAAAGTGTAAACTAGAAGTTTACAAGATTGAATAACCTTTTGTTTTGCATATCCGGTTATACCATCCCGGATACAAATGCGGAAAAAATGATTGAGATATCATACGGAAATTAAGTGAGAGTTTAGAGAATTCATCAATCAAAGGATTGATTATGTGATAAATGCCTCGAGGAGAATATACTCACTTGTGAAAATAATTGAATATGTTGAGATTTTATAAAAGTGTATGCAGAAAAATACACTCACCGAGCAAATCATATATGAATTTTATGATTTTGATTGATGCATCAACTATATCGTCATATATGTCTGTTATCTAACCGCAACCTGATGTTTGCGAGATTCGTTGTCGATTGATGGATATATTTTGATGATTATCCAATCAAACAAAACTTCTCTTATGAGAACAAGCTAAGTCTATCGATCTCTTATCGAGGAACATGATATCATTAATTCGCATGAAGCCAACAAGTTATCATATGTTCCCCCCTTTCATACAAATGGTTTTGGTCAGGGACCAAACATTTAAAATGCTAGAAAATTTGGGTGTGCAGAATACATCCCAATTGCTCCACCATAACACGTTATGAGTTCCATGAGAACTCATGTTGGACATGGTGTCCATTGCAATGAGAGATTTATTCATGACTCTTTTTGCTAATATCATCATTTTGATGAATTATTTTTCGAACTTTAAGGGGGAGAAAAGTAAACACTGGGACATAGATGTGAGTTGGAATCATCATTATCTCATTTTAATCCTCAAACGAAGAAACATGAACCCGAAGTTCATAGGGTGATTCATGGAGGAAAAAAACGTATTGATTGTCAAACGCCTTTTTACTCACTAAAAGGAGTGATTATGTCACATGCCCAGTTGTGAATGCTCCAATACAAATTGATGTCCATATTGGATAATCTAATGAGTCTAAACGAGCGCATGAAGCGTGGTAGAGCAATCGGTTCCAAGGATAAAAATCCTCGAGAAAGGAAGGAGCTATAAATTAAGATGGTAAACTCGAGGATAAAATAGCTCTAGAAGAGTCAAGTCATAAAATTGAGATCATAGTTCCAGAAGAATAGTAGGTGCCTGAACGTTTTAAAATGAAGAGATCTCAATTAATTGGCTTGTATGAAAAAAGTTGGAACCGAAGTGTTTTTGTTGTCGACAAGGGTTTTGATTATGCTGCAGCACGTGATAGATACAAAGAGGATCAAAAGTAAAAGTCTATTGATGCATGTAAAGGAATATATACTGACCAATATAAAAGAAAGCATTAGGCTAGCTATTTGGTATAAGTTTTGGACCAGAAGTCCTTACCCCTGAAGATGTAAAACTAACGGGATACAAATAGGTTTTGTGCAAACGCGTATGAAAATTGCGAGAGATATAATACAATTTCTCGTGAGAGGTTTCTGGTAAAAACCTGACATCAATTATGAAGAGTCATACTCTCTTGTGGTGGATGCAACTATGTTGTGCAATTTAAATAGTTTGGCAGTTCAAAAATCATGAAATTTGCATTTGGTAGATATTGTGATAGCCTATTTGTATGGATCCCATGATAATGATATTTATAAGAAAACCCCTGAAGGATTAGTTTTTCCAGAAGCCAACATGTGACGTTCTCGAGAACGATATCGATCGATAAAACAATCCCTTGTATGGATTGAGATAAAATGGATGAATATGGTATATTCATCTAAGTGAATATCTACTAAAGGAAGTGGTCGAATAAGCCTTGCGTGATTAAATTCGAATAAAGTGCATTAGAGCATTTGCATTTGGCATGTGTGATTGTGTAATGACATATAGGCTTATGTGCGTGATATTGTGATTTTAGTTATGAGTTTGATTTATGAATGTGGTTTGGTTAAGTGATGTTGTGTGTATGACGTGCCTTTTGCTTGTGACCTTGTGTTATGAAGTAATTGTTTGCATACAATTGTGTTAGCTAAGTTTTATAGTTATTTGGAAGAAATGAGTCGAGACATTATTTTATAATGATCTCATATGTTTTAGTTGATATGAACTCCAGAAGAGCTTCATAAAGCATGGTTTGCTTAAAGAAAGAAAATTGAACATGGAGGATTTAAGAAGATTCTTTTTGGATCAAGACGACAATGTCGGAAAAGTGAAAGAACAATTTTGTATGGAAAAAATTGCATACGTTCAACATCCAAATGATCATAAGCTCACTAGAAGTGAACAAAGATCAATTTAGGCCTTGAGATAGAAGCGAGTTATTAGGTCCTGAAGTACCGTATGTCAATGTCGTTAGAGCGAAAATGTATATTGCTATACTTCATTAAGTTGTACTTTGTTACCTATTGGTAACGATGAGGATCATAGATGAGTAATTTGTTTACTTATGGTCGTACAAGTATCTCATGGAGATTCCAAAGAAATCACAATAGCAACATCATCTGATCATGCACAATGGTCAACAATTCATGAGACTTAATATGAATTGTTTGGTTAAGATTTGTGATCCAACACGTCTAAATGACTTGTGGTTGCGGATTATATTCAAAGAAAATGATCTTGAAGATCATGTATGAAGAAAATGGTCCTAATGGATCATGCATAAAGTGACAATCTAGAAGATTTGTTTACTAAGAAGCTTACCATGATAATATTTGAAAGATTTGTTCACAACACTATTGATGTTGTCATGAGGGGGAGCATATACGCACTGCACTCTTTTTTCCTTAACCATGGTTTTTCCCACTGGGTTTTCCTGGTAAGGTTTTTAACGAGGCAGATTCAGATAGCGTATTATGATGATTATGTACTCTTTTTCCTTCACTAGGATTTTATCCCACAGGGTTTTTCCTAGTAAGGTTTTAACGAGGCATATTCATGTCTAATGGTCATCCAAGGGGGAGTGTTATGAAAATATTATTATTATTATGGATGACCAACATTAGATGCTCCATGGTATGTTACAAGTTCTATGTAACTCATCACCTTATATTTATTTCTCCATATGACACATTAGATGCACAATTGGGTGTTACATGTAACCCCCCTCCATTTCTATTTCACATTCTTTCTCACATTCATGTATATTAATTGTAAGAATGTAGAGGTTATGTGATGTGTGCCTATAAATAGATGATCTCCTTGTACTAAGGAATATATGAATAAGAGAGCTCTATTCCGCCTCTCTTTTTGTGTCTCTACTCTTACTCTTGTGTATGTTCCTCTTTCTTGTTATTTTATAAAAGAGACCATTTTTATCATTGTTAAATGTTGACGAGAAAGTTATCCATTTGGTAAAAGTTGAGGTCATCTCTTCCAATACCTCTCGACTCTTGAGAGGAAGCAATGAGAGAATCAGACCAAAAAAGAGAGTGGGCCTTGGGCCTTGGGAATTCGGTCTGTAAGCCCACTAGGAGCAGCAGCTCTCTGGTTCTTACTTTGACGCACCTTCGATCTAAAAAAATGCCGCAAAATTTTGGCGAAGAGAGGAGGAAGGAAGAAGAAGAAAGGCGAGAAAGACAAAGAAGAACAAAAAGAGAAAACAATGTTGAGGACTCGATTGGTGTGGTTCACGGTGGGGTTTTCGCTGTCGGGAGCTGCGATTGCGCAGTTCATCGGCAGAGATCTATGGGCGGAGCGAGTCGCTCTTTCTTCTCACGTATGGTTTCCTGTCTTCTTCTCCATCAACCGTCTGTGTTTCTGCCTTCCCCGTTAAGGGCGGCTTTCTTATCCCTTGTGTCTTGCAGGTGAAGCAAAAGATGGAGACTCTTGAAGCTCGAGTGTCCAATCTCGAGTCGATCACTCCGCAGAACTCGACTGCTTCTCAGGTTAGTTTGCTTTCCGCTGTCTGAATCGAGAATTCGCTGTTGATCTGTGTTTATTTGGCGGGTTATGCAGTCAAAATCGCACTTTAAAGTTTAAAATCTTACGATTTTACACTTTTAGATCATCAAAACGCTTATACGTAGAATCGTTTCCCCCCTTAACAAATGTAGTCAAAATCTACGTTTTAGAGCTTAAAAGCTTAGGGTTTTACGCATTTATGTCACCAAAATGCTTTTACGTAGAATCGCACTTTTGACTGCATTGGCGGGAAGTGTTGAATTGGGAATTCTCTGAGAAACTGCTCTAGTTGCTTATGCTTTGGCTGGCGTTTGGAAAACACTTCTGTTATATCGTTCTTGTAGAGATTGTATCGCATGAGAGAGGGCTGAATTACTTGTTGATTTAGAGCCTCCTACGCCTGCCTAAAGTCTGGAGGAGCTTTGCATTATCATCTATGATGCGTGTAGAATTCTGTGTCTTGTATAGTTTTCTGTTTTTGGTTTGTGTCTGTGTTCTGTGTTCATGAAGACTGGTACAATATGGACGTACTAGGGATTTTAGGATCTCCATTCTCCATTTAGGTTGAGCTGCATTTTGGATCAATTCAATTGGGTGTTTGATTTAGATCTAACCTGCTTCTGTATGGAGTAGTTCTCGGAATGGAGACCATTTATCGTGGGAAAATGGTGGAGTTGTGTAGTTTATGTTGGGGCACAATCCAAACAGCCATTTCTGATTCTTAGAAGCTAAACTTGTGAGCTGAATTGAGCTGCCAATATATCATCTAAATATGCATCTGTGTTGTGGATCATTGAACATTTCTTATGCATGTTTAGACTCCGTGCGGATGAGTTCAAGCCCTACGTTACGCCGCTTCTTCTAGGTGGTTAAAACGTAAACCCTTTTCGTTAACAGCATCCTACTTGTTGTCTGTGGCAGGCTAAGGAGTAGAATTTACTGCAGAACTCCAAACGGAACTGGTGATTAAGAGCCGTTGTTGCTTGTTCAATCGGCCTTGTTCAAGAACTGGAGTAACTAAGTTCTGTTGGGTGAGATGAGATCACATCTTATTTGATTCCTAAACTAGTGAAAACATTATGTTTGTTATTAGCATCTTTCGGGGTTAGCAATTGTGTTGAAAAGCTACAGAATTGATGCAAATGTACTAGAGTCCCCATTCTTTTTTATGTTGATTACATAATCATGATCTTCAATGAGAATTTGGATCATTTTGACACCGGAAGTGACTAGTTTGGTTGATTACAGAAATCGAATTTGATATCTCACAGGAAAGTGATTACCATGTTGCTGTGTTGCTCTGGAGAGAATGCCAACCGGCTCACTGCTCATTCATTAAGGCTCCATAAATACAACAGAAACGGATATCCATAGTTTTGGCCATAAAGGTTTCACACGGCTAAAATATCTCGGATATCACTTAAGTTTGAGAATTGGTGTAGACATACCATTTAATTTTGAATAGAGCGTCGGACACCTTTAAAATCACCAAATGTGCTTCCGTCTACTTTTCCATCCAACCCAAAATTTTAACTGGTTTTTGATACCCAAAACTTCTTAAAACATACAAAACTATATTTCAACAAGTTTTATCAAATATAAAATTTAGAAAACCTTCTAAACATAGTATTACTAAAATGACTAATCTTCTCCAATAAAAAATATAATTAGTAAAAATAATAAATGCATATCAAGAAGAATAATAAATATACTAAAGTGTAATAATAAATATACTAGAGTATAATACTAAATATTTCAAATCAATATTATAATATCTATTTAATCCCCCTAATTTAATTAGAAGCACCATTAGAAACAGTTAAAGTAGAACCTAATCGATCATGAATACATCAAATCCAAAGAAGGATAAATGGAACACAATCAGAAAGAATTAAACATATTCCAGTAATTGAAAAAATTTAAAACGGAAAGTAGCCAAGTAATAAATAAACTATGAAAGCTACAACATTTAGTAAAACATGTGGAAAAGAAAATACGACTATAGGAATAAAATTAGAATTAGTAAATTTAACTACTATGGAACATCTATAATATAATATTAGAGAATCAAAAATAAATTTAACATGGAAAATTAGACAATATCAGCATGATGTAAGAGAACTAAATATAACATCCTTGGATTATTTATATCGAGATATTATTCATAAGATATATTTTCTTTAGAGAATTATTCAGTTATTAGAAACATAATGATAATTGAAAATACTTATAATGATAATTTATTCTAAATTTTATATTCAAAAATTTGTTTGGTATCAAGTATTCAGAAGAGGATTCAAACTAAACAGTGAAAATGATGTTTTTTATAAGTCCAAATGATTTGTTTACAATAAGAAAGGTAGAAGGACCATTTATGAAATTTAGAAAATGGAATATTCCAAGAATATTCTATCAACTTTAACGGAATGCACTTAGCAGTAAACTTAAGTGGTACCGGGTGCACATATAATAGAATTCAATGGTACGCGATGCCCTATTTTTAGTTAAGTAGTATAGCTGCCCCAATTCTCATACTTTAGTGGTACCCAAGGTATTTTACCCGTTTCACATGATTTGAATTACTCAACAAGAGATGGGTGTGGAGGGTAGAGTAGGTGAGTTCTTCATGATTCATCTCCCAACAAAAGCATATAACACAAAATTGCATTTGTTTTTCTGAATGATATATAGTTCCAAGAAAAAGAAGTTAAAAACTGAATTCATTTCAAGCACATGCACACAAATTAGCACCAGACAAACCTAAATATGAAGGACAAATAACACCAATTTGGGTGTTATCAAACTTCCCCACACTTAGGCGTTTGCTTGTCCCCAAGCAAACCTATTCAAACCAATGCAACTTGATAGACAAATCAACGGAGGATGCACTCTAGTTCTTCATTGCACAAAGGAGAGTAGACGGAGATGAGTGAATGTTACTATAATCTTACTGTGCACACACAAACTCCTTGGTGAGGATCTTACTTACTACCTTAGGACGAACATTCAAGGTGTGCACCGGGGTGCTTCTCAACAACAATTAAGCACAATAACTCATGAGGGTGCGATTTATTCTTTCTTTTGATTTAGGAGTTGTCTTTTATTGGTCTGCTTTTCAAACGTTGACGCGCATTGCACCAAACGTTTGCAAACTCTTTTGCAAGCAAGCATCTCTCCCTCTGACCAAGAGCGGATGGATCATTACCTTCCCTATCAAGGTCACATGCGGGGAAGTTGATGGGTAGATTCGTCTTAGCCTGAGCACCACTTCCCAGCCTGCACTCCACATTGGGTTGCAACACATGTTGGGTACAAATGAGAGCTTGAAGTCTCTTGAATCGCTAAAAGGTACTTTGTAGCTTGCCATACGATTCCGTGAGGAGGAAAGATGTTTGGGTGGTAAGTAGTGAAAGATGATTGGGATGCGGTATTATCCTTGAAAACCTCTTTTCAAAAGACTTTTTCAACAATAAGCACAAATTTGTAAAAGTTTCAAGTTAAAAAATGATGGAGAATCCCGAACACATGTTCTTCCTAAACTAGCAAACATTATCAACTCACCAAAAAGGAAGAAGAGAGTAAAATCCCTCATACACCGGTACTCTAATCATGCAAATATTCCCTAACGAACACAACACATCAATCATCTATCAATTCAAAGAATATTGAGTAGGGAGTTGCAAGGAACAAGGTGTTTTGGAACCCTCAAATTTGAATATTTTTGGATAGTGCATTCTAGGTTCCAAAACATAATCAATAAGCCATTCAACGTCTTACATTAAAAATCAAGGGAGGATACTAGTGATTCATGGCTCAAACAATCATGATAATCGTTCAAACATTCACACACATCCCTCCCACACACTTGAGCAACACATTGTCCTCAATCTGGGAGATTCAAAAGAGAAGATCATGAAGGTTACCATAGGTCAAGTTGGGGGTTGGTGAAGGTACACAAGTGTAGGTCTTTGTCTTCCTGTTGGTTTTCACAACGATAAAGCGCATAAGAAAGAGAGGAAGAAGATTATAAGACATAGGTACGATAAGTAGATAATATAAGTACGGTTACTACTAGTACGATAATATTTAGAGTACGAAAATTAAAACGAAAAGGGGCAATAATTAAACATTTGTTTAAAGAAAAAGAAAAGATAGAACTTAGGCCCTGGATGCCTAGTACTTAATCCTCAACGGTGGTTCCTTCCTCTTCTTCTTGGAATGGCGAAAGGGGAGGTGAGCGAACAAGTTGGGGCGATACATCTTTAATTGGGATATCCATCTTTATTATAGCATGGATGCACGCCATGATATATAGTCGCGCTTCCTTCTCCCTCCTTTGATTGTGAAGGATTGCCGCTATCTTTGCTTTGACTCGAAAATCCCTCGCATGGTTGAATGTTTGGGGAACCGGATGAGAAGTGGATGGGTCCGCCTCTCCTCCCTCATACATGCTTTCGACTTGTTCTTCCGTGTTAACTAGTGCTCTTCGTCCTCTTATCGCTGTAGCTTCCGGAAGACAGAACACGGTACCCTCCATGTCCAACGTGTTTGTGGTTGGAAATGGAAGTTCACGTACTCCCCAAATGACATCTTCATTCAAATGTAACACTTTAATTCTGGATTTCAAGATGTGAAACGAAATAGGAGTGGTCCTACTATCTAACCGAAATTGCACGACCAAGAAATCGACTCTGAAATACTTTGCAAGACGAGTGACAAAAACTCCTCCATGAAGGGCAATGAGTCGATGGTTTGTTTCATAACGCTTGAAGATGGACAAAATTTCCAAACTGAAGTGAAGTGATTGAGGTAGATGCATGTTTTGGAAGAAAATGACGTCTCGGGCAGTTAGATTGTCTTTGCTTCGGTTCTTTCTTCCCACGGACATAGCAATCACGTGGTGTAATAACTGCCACTCCGATTTCACCTCACTAGCCTTTGATAGCTTGACATCCCACGGTGGACTGTTGGACTTGACTTCGGATTAATAAAAGGGCTTAAAACATGGAAAGTCAGATTCCCTTGTCAATGAAGCATAACCGTCCCGTGAGTCAACGAAATCCACCGGGTAAATACCCATGGCTCTTGTAAATTCATGGATTGACAGTTGGTGATGTTCTCTTGAGGAAAGTCTCTTATTTGGAAGGAGTGAGGTAATGGTCGATTCGATTCTTCAATAACTACTTTCTTTGATCTGGATTTGATTTTCTTCTTTCGATGGTCTTGGCGAGGATGAGAGTTTCGAGAACGCTCCATGTTAGAAGAACTGTCTCCACGCGCCATTCCCTTGTTCTTGTAAGTTATCCTTCAAAACAAGTAGTACAAAATGTTCAAACCATTAATCCAAACATCACATACCATAAAAAGTACGTCCAAAGACCATTGATCAATTCTCTAGGCTCCCCCACACTTGAGTGAAACTAAAACTTGGGAAAAAGGAAGTACCTAGAGGAAGATAGAGTTCAATGGAAAGGAATAATCCTAGAATCTCCTAACCAACACAAATCAAGGAAACAAGAATCAACAAGTGTATGAAGTCAATGTTCAATGAATAGGATTGAAGGAAAAGACAACTATGTGGTTGGGGAATTTCATTGAACACTTGGTGGGCGGTCTATGAAGGCTCAAAAATTGCATGAAAATAGCCCACCAAGGTCTCCTAAAAATGCATATAAATATCATTAAAGCAAAGACAAAAATCCTATGACATTTAAAAGTCATCCCAAATTCAAAATGAGTGTTTGAAGTTCTCAAAGCACTCAACAAATTTTGAGGCAAATAAGCTAATTTCAATGTAGGATAATGGAAAAGTGTACCTTATTTGGTAAGAGGCATATTAGAAATCTAGAAGTGATTGAAAATACTTCTCAAAAGATGTTGGAAAGTGTATTAGAAGAAGTAAGCTCAACAAGCTAAGAAAGGTAAGGAAACATGGCATTGAGATCCAAAAGATGAGATGAAGAAAGTACACATGGTAGCAATGTGCATCTTCCCCTTAAATAAGCATGGACAAGATCACAGGCAGCAAACAAATGATCGCGGTGGCAATCTCTGACATGCCAATTGCGATCTTTGATCTAAACACAAAGATCATGTTTTCACCAAACCCTAAGTTTAATCATTCATCTAAATCAATAAAACATCCAAAGAACAAGAAAAGGCAATGTCTAAGTCCTAACAACTAGCGCATCTTTAAAAGTCTTTTCGCCGGACTTGAATCCTTGAGATCAAGAGGTAACCGCTCCATTCTC